TCTCAAAATTATTTCTTGTTACCCATGCAGTTTTGTTCGAAGTCCAATGGACGGGTAGCTGTTCTTTATTTTTTCCTTTTAATGCTCTAAGATTTTCTGAACGATACACGAGCATAGGTTTGCATTTTAAATCTCCAGTGGCGTTAACACAGAATAAGAGAGTAAACCTATCTTTCGCTACTTTGAAACCTGGCGCTCTCAATTCTTCTTTCGTTAACCATGTTCGAGATGGCATTCTTTTCCAAAAAAGTCCAGTCTCATCACAATTAAAAATTTGATCGGGAACAAAATGTTTTTCAGCAATAACTTCTCGAACTTGTGCTGGGAATACACGAGCAGCTTCATGATCCGCACTAGAACTTTCACCTAAATATTTTGATTTTCATTCTTATTTTCAAGTTAAGTTTTTATTTTTTATTTATATTTTATTTTTACATTCTATACCTGAGAATTTGACATTATGCAGCATGAATCTGGCTTTAAACCTTTCAAACCATCCTTTACTCGCGTTGAACTTCTCAGTTTTATTGTATTTTTCACACAGGTGAGTGTGAAAAACGATAGCTTGATCTCTAATTGCCGCTGTACTAAGAGGAATTTTTTTGTGTATAAGATCTTGAATCCAAATCATAAGCATCTCTTCTGCTTTTTCAATGAAATTATGACGAACAACTTTTGCTGCCTGAGCATGCTGGCCCAAAATTTGTGCACTTTCACGAATTTCCGCTTCGCTATCCCGAATCGTGCGAATGGTTGATTCATTTACTTCGAAACGTCTAGCAATTGCAGCAACTTTATCTCCGTCTCGAAGTGAATTTAAAATTTTTAATTTATCTGCCAAACTCATTACTTTTCGATTTTTCTTTAAAGGCGTTTTTCTTGGAGTTTTCGTTGGAGGGCGTGGTGGTGCCATGATTTAAATTTGGAAATACTATTGACGTTATAAGAAAGTAGTGTGAACCAAATAGAAATGTACAATGTTAAAGGTTATGAAAATTTATAAACAAAAACAAAAAAATTGAACTGAACATTGCGTCGAGTAAACCGCGTATAAGGCTGACTGTTACCGCGTAAAACGCGGGACGGTCACAAATCGCAATCCGCGTATAAGGGTAATCCGCGTATAACGAAACCGCGTATAACGAGGGATGCCTGTACCAAGAAAAATAATTTATTATTACTATATAAAACTAAAAATGATAAAATTAACTACACGAAATAGGCACAAATTTATGCCAATTAGAAAGAAAAATCGACATGAGAATTAATAATAAAAATATATATGTAAGACGTCAAATACGAAATTTCCGTAATCTCTTATACATAAAATGAAAGACCTAACATAATTGGCAGCGTATTCTTCACTTATTAATAAAACGAGATGATCATTCAAGGGTTGTGTATCAAGATATTTATGACCGTACTTTTTCAAGATTTCCATGCATCAATAAGCATGAGCCTTCTTTTGAGCGTTTGTCAGATTAATGCTATCCAACTCAAACAAATCTTTTTCACGGCCAATTTTCATGTAATCTTTTCAATATTTTATTGATGCTAATTATACTAAAGAGTAAAGATGCCTCTATCTCACAATATGTCACATATCGATCTTACTTTATGAGTTCATACACAGCATCGACGTTTTGTGGTACAACAACAGATTTTGAACAACCTTAACCGAATTCATCCTGGAGCAAACGATGACCATAATTGAATTCGTTATACCAGTCATTACAATACTGTTGGATGGTACATTACCGCTATGAAAAGAATTAAGTTTATTGTTTCACTTTTGTTTTGCTAATCCATGTCAAAAGATAAAAAATAATCGCACGAAAATGTCCACGTGTTAATTCCATTTTTTGCTCAAAATGAATTTTTCAAGTTACTGCAAACAAAATAAATCACACTGAAATGACAAAATGTTCTGAAAAAGGTTATAATTAAAAATGTAACAACCTTTGCACATAAACTAAAAATAAATAAACTAAATAATGCATATATCGGAGAAGTAAAACCCGGAAGCGAGATCGAGACCTCGGAATTAGGGTTACTGTACATACATAGAGAAGTAATATGAACTTGTTCGTAATTATATTACATCGTAATTAAGATAAAGCGATCTACAACGAAAATATTTCTGCATGACTTACAACGTACATTTAATTTTGTATTCGAACCTACAAAAAAATTCTTGTTGTTAAGACAATCCTTAATTTATCGTTTTATATCCCTCTTACATTGAATACTAGTAACATTATAGAAAAATTGGAAGTAAAATCTATATCTCTTTGAAAATAGCTAAATGCGCTGGTGATATGTGCATTTGAATTAACTGAGCATGTTAATGTCTGTAATCTATGATACGATGGCTAAATTAATAAATAAATCACCTATAAATCATACACATTATTACAATCTCATTATGGTTATGGTGAAATTTTAATTTAAAAAAAGGAGTGATTTTTTTGTAATTTCATGCAGGGAGAGTACTAACAGCCATTCATGCGCTTTTACCACAGCTGTGTAGGATGACGTATTCATTTTTCCTTAAATAGATCGTTCAGAAGTTTCATATTTCGTTTTAAAACTATGATATTACATTGTAATTTTTATACCGTAAAATATCAGTGTCACATATTAATGCAGATCCTACCGAGCACAAAAGAAACCGCAGAACATCTACACGTTTTCTAAATTTATTATTTATTATTTAATATACAAGGTGTCCCATTTTGAAGGAACCACCCCGAAATTTTCGACGGTTGACGTTATACAAAAAAATTCTTCAGACAACAGTTGTTTGGGACAATGGGGGCAACCTTTCTGTGAAATCCGATTTGACCTTGGGGTTCATTTTCAAGGTCATTTGAAGGTCAAAGTCATTTTTTGAATAGGAACCCATATTTAGGCTCCCGGATTCCGAAAGAGCGGAAAATTCTACAATTCTACATTTAGATAACGTATTATGTGTGAGGTGCAGTAACCCCCCCCCCCTCCCACGTCGCCTAAGATCATGTAGGGGTCAAATTTATGATTTTCTTCATCTATGCATAGGGATGATCGGACAAGAGTAAGGTTAATTGTAATAACTGAATAACTCGATAACCCAAATAACCCAATAACCCGATAACCCTAATAATTCAATAACCCCAATATCCCAAAAAAATTGTAGGGTCGAACAACAGTGACCTTGAGCTTAGCTTCAGGTTGATTTTCAAAGTCGACTTCATGTATTCAAAGACTTCATGAAAAGTGTAATTTTCCATTTTGTGGGATAACATGTTATTTCAATTCTTTTTTCTGGTGTGATTCCGGACAAGCCTACAAAGTTTCAACTAAATAGTTTAATAACACTTTTTCAGTATTGTTTATGACAATAGTGATTCGCGAACAGTCCTTCTCAGGATAGTTCAAGTGTAATTTTCTTAGTCGACTTAAAAGGAAGGAATATGCCGGATTATTCGAGAAACGAAATTGTTGATATTCTGTTGTCTCTCGTGGCATGTCAAGGCCAATATCGTGCTGCGGCAAGGTATTACCCATAGCACCCGGCTAGGTAATCAATACCTTGCCTTCATTGGCTGGGTAATCGATATCTTACCTTCATTGGCTGGGTAATCAATACCTTGCCTTCACTGGCTGGATAATCAATACCTTGCCTTCACTGGCTGGATAATCAATACCTTGTTAACTTCACCCTTGCCCCGGTAGGATGGGGGGGGGGGGGGGGTGAACCGCTCTCCCAACATAATACTTTATCTAAACGTAGAATTTTCCGCACTTTTCGAATCCGGGATAAAAAATGGGAGCCCTTATTCAAAATATCTCTTGGTTATTGGGTTATTGGGATTATTGGGTTATTACAATTAACCTTACTCTTGTCCGATCATCCCTATGCATAGATGAAGAAAATCATAAATTTGACCCCTATATGACCTTAGGCGAGGGGGGGGGGTTAACCGCACCCCACACATAATACTGAACGTAGAATTTTCCGCTCTTTCCGAATCCGGGAGCAAAAATATGGGTTCCTATTCAGAAAATGACTTTGACCTTCAAATGACCTTGAAAATGAATCTCAAGGTCAAATCGGATTTCACAGAAAGGTTGCCCCCATTATTCCAAACAACTGTTGTCTGAACAATTTTTTTTGTACAACGCCAACCGTCGAAAATTTCGGGGTGGTTCCTTTAAAATGGGACACCCTGTATACTTACTATTCTTTACATATAAAATAGATTTAGTTCATATGTTTAGATAATAATGCCTGTAAATATTGACTTGTATAAAAAATACTTTAGTTGTAGTAATTCATTAAATAATACCATTATGTATACTATTTGATTATATAAATTGTTATGGAAGAAAATATTGGTGATTAAACAATCACGCTAGTTAACAAAAAATCATTTATGTTAAAATTTAAGGTCTTCAGTAAGAAACTATGTAGAAATTTCGCGCGACGCAATTTGTTAACGAGAAGTTTTAAAATGTAATCAAGCAGATCCTCTATATTCTTTAAAATGCGATTGTGGATAGTTATGAAATACCATCAAGTGTTAAAACAGCTTATTGAAAGAGTAGTATGAACAGTAATGAATTACTGTATTTGTAACGAGTATATATATATAAAATGTAGTAAATTCTTAAAATAAAAAAAAAAGATTTGTTTAGTATATAGTAAAATATGTGATCGCATTTACAGAATTAATAACGCTTTATACCAACATATATATCGATATGTGTTAAATGATATACCGATATATTTCCTTTTCAACGCAAGCTCGCTGACTGACTTATCTTTCCAATATTCAGTATCATTTTGATCCAAAAAAAGTTTATCAAAATCCGGGTATTTCTCAGCAATGTAAAAGAATTAGCAAGCAATGTATTATTATACACCTGTCTGTAGGGAATGTCGTATTAAATACTAATATTATAAAAAGATAAAACGGTTAGTTTCTAAATAATACAGAGAAAGAGTAGAAAATACTAACTCAGGTAACATTCGATGAAGTAAATCCTCTGTCTTTTGTTTTTCCTCGTAGAGAAGACGTGTACGTTCGCTGACTAAATCTTCAAGATTATTTGCATATTTTTCCATCATGTCCATCATTTGATCCATAATATTACGATGTTTGCCAGCTTTCATTCTTTTTAATCTAGTTCTTATAGCTTTAAAGTCAGGTCTGAGCTCAGGACTTTCGGTCCAGCACTCAGTCATCGTATTAATAATATAATCAGAACAGTCTGCTTCAGATTCTGACAAGACATTGACATTTGGCCTAAATGGCTGTTGCCCATCTTCCGGATATTTTTTCACTCGGTCAATAATTTCTTTTGGTTCTAAATTTACTCCTCCGTAGGGGCCTTTACGTCCAATTATTTCAAACAATATTATTGCGAAAGAATATATGTCTCCTTCTTGGGTCCCTCTTATTGCAGCGTGTGGGTTCCTCAGCAATTCTGGAGCTTTCCAAAATAAATCTAAAAACAAATAAAAGTAGAACATGTAAGTGATAAGACTGAATCATTTGGGAACGACTAATATTTATGAGTTATGATATACAAGGTGTCCCATTTTAAAGGAACCACCCCGAAAGTTTCGACGGTTGGCGTTGTACAAAAAAAATTGTTCAGAAAACAGTTGTTTGGAATAATGGGGGCAACCTTTCTGTGAAATCCGATTTGACCTTGAGATTCATTTTCAAGGTCATTTGAAGGTCAAAGTCATTTTCTGAATAGGAACCCATATTTTTGCTCCCGGATTCGGAAAGAGCGGAAAATTCTACGTTCAGTATTATGTGTGTGGTGCGGTTAACCCCCCCCCCCCTCGCCTAAGGTCATATAGGGGTCAAATTTATGATTTTCTTCATCTATGCATAGGGATGATCGGACAAGAGTAAGGTTAATTGTAATAAACGAATATCTCGATAACCCAAATACCCAATAACCCAATAACCCGATAACCCCAATAATTCAATAACCCCAATATCCCAAAAAAATTGTAGGGTCAAATAACAGTGACCTTGAGCTTAAACTTCAGGTTGATTTTCAAAGTCGACTACATGTATTCAAAGCCTTCATGAGAAGTGTCATTTTCCATTTTGTGAGATAACCTGTTATTTCCATTCTTTTTTCTGGTGTGATTCCGGACAAGCCTACAAAGTTTCAACTAAATTGTTTAATAACACTTTTTCAGTATTGTTTATGACAATAGTGATTCGCGAACAGTCCTTCTCAGGATAGTTCAAGTGTAATTTTCTTAGTTGACTTAAAAAGAGGGATTATTCGAGAAATGAAATTGTTGATATTCTGTTGTCTCTCGGGGCATGTCAAGGCCGATATCGTGCTGCAGCAAGGTATTACCCGCAGCACCCGGCTGGGTAATCAATACCTTGCCTTCGTTGGCTGGGTAATCGATACCTTACCTTCATTGGCTGGGTAATCAATACCTTGCTTTCACTGGCTGGGTAATCAATACCTTATTAACCTCACCCTTGCCCCGGTGGGATGGGGGGGGTGAACCGCTTCCCCAACATAATACTTTATCTAAACGTAGAATTTCCCGCTCTTTTCGAATCCGGGATAAAAATGGGGGTCCTTATTCAAAATATCTCTTGGTTATTGGGTTATTGGGGTTATTGGGGTTATCGAGTTATTAGGTATTGGAGCTATTGGGTTATGACAATTAACCTTACCCTTGCCCGATCATTCCTGTGCATAGATGAAGAAAATCATAAATTTGACCCCTACATGACCTTAGACGAGGGGGGAGGGGTTAACCCCACCCCACTCATAATACGTTATCTGAACGTAGAATTTTCCGCTCTTTTCGAATCCGAGATCAAAAATATGGGTTCCTATTCAAAAAATTACTTTGACCTTCAAATGACCTTGAAAATAAATCTCAAGGTCAAATCGGATTTCACAGAAAGGTTGCCCCCATTGTTCCAAACAACTACTGTCTGAACAATTTTTTTGTACAACGCCAACCGTAGAAAATTTCGGGGTGGTTCCTTTAAAATAGGACATCCTGTATAAACGTGAAGTAAAATATAATGTAAGTATGATAAAGTAGTAAAGTAATGATAATTAGTTATTTGTATATAACACTCTTATTTTAAAAAATGCAAAATCGAAAACTTTTTTTTTGCTATTCTGAACCTAATAAATTTATTGTTATTCTTACTATTTGTAGACCACATATGTACTAATGATACTTTGAAGTAGATAATAAGATATAATTTTCCGTCCATAAATTACTATAAGAACATTTAATTTATAGATATATAACCTGTGATGCAAAACATAACTAATATCACTGCCCACCGCCTATTCCCATCACGTGACTCTGCGGATCATTAATCGCGTCCGCTAATATTAATAAAACATCTTGTTTCATGCAACTCAGTTCTCTCACGTCCAAAAAACTGGTGGTACAAACACGGTCACATGGTCGGACGATCGGCGAATGAGATCAGCTGACGAGGGAGAAAAATAAAGGACCGCGCGCACACTACGATATCCGGACGGAAAACAACGATAATTCGCGATCGCACGATTGACATGCGTCGATCGGCGAGTTTTCTACCTTCGAATCGACCACGTGAATGCGAAAAGGTGGAAACCCGTGAAAAAATGGAAATAAAGACGATGGAAACGTAAGGCGACCGAGCTCACACCCAGACACGATACATGCCGGCACTCGGGAGAAAAGGGAAGAAAAACGCACATAAAGGATCCGAAAAATCGATACTATCCCATGCTTACACCACACTCACTCACTCTCTTGACGACCAGGATCGCCCAGCCATTGGAACAACCATTGCAACCAAGGTATACGAGAAGCCGGCAATTAACGGTTACGCTATATTAAACATATCGGCGGTTCGTCGTAGATAACGGATAGTGCCCTGATATATTGTGGAGAAAACTAATTATTTTCACTCACACACACACATGTGCACCACAACATGCGACTGGAATGACGACTGAGCGTTCCAAGAGGCGGAAATCAGCACCGGTGCTGAGAGCGGAACGCACGTAAACGAGTGGTGGCTGCTATTTTGATGAACCGCAACGAGAGAAGATAAACTAGAGAGGGAGTGGAAGTGTGATCTAGAGAAAGATAGAGAGAGAAAGAGAGAGAAAGATATAGAGAGAGAGAGCGACTAAAAGAAGACGGCGAACGACTGAAGGCGCGCACGTAATTAACTGACTCTTTTTTGAATTACTTGTACGTGTATGCGAACTAATGTCTATATATTGTAGTATATTCGATACGTTCTAATTTGTTGGTTACTAAGTGATTGTTTGGTTGCTAAGTAATCTGTATTATTATTAGTTAGTTAGTTGTGTTCATGAGCTGATATTATATACACACGCTATTTTCAACGATTCTAATACAAGTTTTAGTTTCTTTTACATATCGTTGTATTTTACAGTGCCGCTCACGCACTTTTACCCCCCCACGGGCAAAATCAGTCTAACTTCAAAGTTTTATATCTCTGGTAGAAATTAACGTACAGAGACGCGCGTGGGTGCGTTTGAAAGGTCTTTCGGAGAGCTTTCAAATGATATGACTCACGGTTGCCATCGATTGTTTTTTTAAATTTTGCAACAATTATGCAAAATTGAAAATTCTGAAATTTTTTTATTATTTTTGACAATTAGCCAATTTGGAAAAAAAATCGTACGAAAATTTGAAGTACACCATTTTTTAGCTATAACCAAGCCCTATCTGAATCACTCATCAAAAATTTATTTTCGTCAAATATGACGCGCGCACGGGCATTTTTTCCTGGAAGTGACAGTTTTTTTCAACATTTTTTATCTCCGTCAAATTGTAACAATCGAAAAAAATTTATAGGAGAAAAAATGTTTGTTTTTTCACGTAGAATACTGCAATAATTTTTTTTTTGGTTTTTAGAAAAATTTTTTTTTTCGGTTTTTATCAATTTTTTTTTCTCACAGTCGGTACGCTAAAAAAATGAGAAACCACAAAAAAAAATTTTTTTCCACCCATTCAATAATACTACATAACAAGTATCGTAAATTACATAAAAAAAAAAATCTTTTTTTTTTCGACCTTGAAAAATAATTTAAACCGAAAAAAAAAATTTTTCTAAAAACCAAAAAAAAAATTATTGCAGTATTCTACGTGAAAAAACAAACATTTTTTCTCCTATAAATTTTTTTCGATTGTTACAATTTGACGGAGATAAAAAATGTTGAAAAAAACTGTCACTTCCAGGAAAAAATGCCCGTGCGCGCGTCATATTTGACGAAAATAAATTTTTGATGAGTGATTCAGATAGGGCTTGGTAATAGCTAAAAAATGGTGTACTTCAAATTTTCGTACGATTTTTTTTCCAAATTGGCTAATTGTCAAAAATAATAAAAAAATTTCAGAATTTTCAATTTTGCATAATTGTTGCAAAATTTAAAAAAACAATCGATGGCAACCGTGAGTCATATCATTTGAAAGCTCTCCGAAAGACCTTTCAAACGCACCCACGCGCGTCTCTGTACGTTAATTTCTACCAGAGATATAAAACTTTGAAGTTAGACTGATTTTGCCCGTGGGGGGGTAAAAGTGCGTGAGCGGCACTGTATTTCATTAATTAGTAGTGGTTATAACATTTTGGGGGCTTAGCCGGGATCCGACATTTGTTTCTTCTATTAAGTTTGAATCTCAACTATGTCTACACACCGGACACCACCGAGGACAAGAGCGCAGGCAGCGGCAAGCGCTAATACAATTACGACGAATATTGCTGATGCCGCTTCGGTTGCTGCTGCAATAGCTGCTGCCTCTGATATCGCCACTAATATACAAGGACATTTCGAACAATAATCGGATGTCATAGACATAACCCAACATACAGGTACTAATTTATTTTTTCCGAATTTAAGTGGCCCTTCAGATACTCCTGCACTGCACCCTGTACTTCCTGCTGTTGCATCGACCGCTAATTCGGCTCTGCAAGAGGCATTGCTGTCGTTGAGCGAGTCGCGAGCAATGTCCGATGATCTTCTTCAAGAAGTGACAACATTGCGCGCTCAGCTAGATGCTGAAAAAACTCAACGCTGTGAACTTGAAAAGGCGCTACAGCTACAGGCCAGCCAAGAGCAGAGTCTCGTAACAGAGCTGCACGCGCGTAATACAGACTTCTTTGAGCTTCGTCGAGAGTTCAACCGACTTCGTCAGGAAGTCAACCAGCTAAGTCGCTATCCTTCTAACCTCACAAACACACGTATTTTGTCACATGCTCAACCCAACCTCGCGCAAGCATATCCAGCAACGACTACACCGATTCCACTCACAGATCTAGGGATAGGTTACACTCTAAAAGTCGATACATACGATGGTTCAGCACCACTTTGCGAATTTTTGTGTCAGTTTGAGCTTATTTCAAAAGCTAATCGTTGGACAGATGATAAAAAGATGGTAGTTTTAGGTTCGTGCTTACGTGGTGATGCTC